CGCCAGCGCAGCCAGGGAGCGTGGACGCGTTGCTGGTCTCTGTTCAGGGGTAGGTAGCCTTTCTGCCCACAGGCCACTGTGAAGAACCCGTCACCCTGACCGGGTCTGCATTCCTCATCCTCCATCTCCCATCGCAGCCTCCACTCCCAAACACAGGAACCCGCACTCCCACCCTGGGGCTGTGCTCTTGATTCTTCGTGTGTCTGTGAGTTTCCCAAGCCCCTCAGCAATGCTTTGGGTGTGTCACTTTTCCTATGAATGAAAATAGCTCAACTCCGTGTTGGCCTAACACCTAGAAAGCCATGCACAGGGAGAGGGGCGGCGCCTGACCAGACCTTGGAGCTGCTGGGCTTGCTCCTTACAGCAACAATTTTGGGGCGGTTGCTTCATGTTGGCACCTCCCTCCATAGGTAGAAAAAGAGAGCCAAAGACCCCACAGTCTGTGCACAAAAATGATACATTTATTGAAAGAGTATTTTTTTTTTAATACAAAAGAAAGCTCTGTACATAGGACTGTGACCATGTCCACTATTCCTGGGTCTGTACCCCAGGGGAAGTAGAAACCACTGACATACACACATCCCACATTCACACACACACATCCACTCAGGCGTGCACACACACACACACACACACACACACACCCCAGAGCCACCAAGGAAGGGAAACACCAAGGGTTGCTGCACATATAAATGCCACCTCATCCCTGACACACGCATGTTCTTCCAAGGCGTCGCTCACACACACACATTATAAGCACTTTGCCTGATTCACTCACTGGGTCTGACTCTCGTGGGAAGGAGAGGGACAATTCATCAGTGTCTCCTCCCATGACGGGGAGTGGGGAGTGAGTGGTGGTAGTGGAGTGAAACAAGAGCAGAGAAAAGGGGCTGGGCAGTTACAGACCTGAGTCCCAAGCTCCCCCACTCTCTAGCCCCTGATTTGCCATGCCCCAGCCTTGAAAGCCACCCCTGAGCCCCAGCTATCTCCAGGAGAAAGCCCAGAAAGGTGACTTCCATCTTGGCACCCCAAATTGGGGCAAGACAGCAATGGGGATTAGAGGTTAGGGGGTTTTCAAACATGTCGGCAAATCATCCTCTTGATAACTAGGCTGTGCGTTAAATCTTCCCCACCCCTTTCACCTAATCACAGAAGCAGGCTTGTTCCTACTGAAGGCAGGCACAAGGGGTTAATAAAACTCCACCCCAACTGCTGCCGGTTTCTAAAAAAGCTCCCTTTCTGGATCTAGGTGGTGAAGGTAGGCTTTGACACAGGGCAAAAGACCCTCCCCCTATGCTGGCCCACCCTCAAGGTCTACCCCAAAGGGGGCTGACGGGGGTGAGGCATGGCCCCTGTACAAATTACATAAATACTGAGGTTACACTTAGAAAAATAAAGTCATTTTCTTCAAGGCTTTTTGTCTTAATTTAAAAAAGTTACAGTAGCTGCTCACTCCCTGGGAGAGCTGCCCATTTCTGGCTCCCCTATCGCTGCACTCAGCCCAAGAGCTGCTCCCACTTCTTCTGACCCCCATTCCTGCCTCTCACCCCCTCCCAGACCCCACCCTGCTCACTGCAACTCTAGCCCCAGGCAGCTGCAGGCCCAGGGGAGCACAAGGCTGCAATGCCCATGCGTGTGGCACAAACAAAGTCAGTTGCCTCTACCGGACACCCTCCCACCCCGCCCCACATGTGGTCTCCCTCTGCCCTCTCCCTAGCAACAGCCCTAAAGGGCAAAAAGAGGCCCAGAGCTGTGGGTCACCCTCCCCACACCGCTGGGGCATGGCCTGAGGGCCCCTCCCCCGGCTTTCTCCTGGAAACAACCCAGGACCGGGCAATCCCAGAATCTCCCCTACTCACTGGCGGACCCCGAGCTCATGGGGTGGCTCTGTCCCCATGGGGCCCAGCCAGTTCTGGGGAGCCGGAAGGCTACCCAGGGAAGGGGAGTTTGGGCAGGGAGGGGGATGAGAAAAACGCCATTAAAAAAAAGTTAAATATTTTAAAAATATATATTTATAGATTTGTTTTCACTTCGTCTCCTCAAATAAAAGTTCAAAATCAACTTTAAGTAAAGCAGCTGGGAGGAGAAGGGGGAAGACAAGGGGGAGAAGGGAACGCTGGTGGTTCCCTCCAACCCAGGAGCCCCTGGAGGTCCAAGGGGAGCGGCAAGGCAGGGCAGGTGGCCCCAGGAACCTGCCCAGTGCACAGGCCCAGCTGCTCAGGAGCTGAAGGGGCAGAGGGTGGCGGTGTGAGGGAAGACACCCCCATCTCCCCAGCTGGCTCCCTGAGGGGCAGGGGCAGGGCTCTGTTGACCCAGCCTGTGGCAGACACAGTACTGACCAGGGTCAGCAAGGAGGCTGGAGAGAGGGCCCCAGCTGCTTCCTCAGGGGGGACATGGTGCCCAGTCCCACAGAAGGCCGGTGTATGGGAAGGTGGGGCCCGGTCCCGTGGGTAAGCTAATACTCATGGCAAACATCGAGCCAAGCTGGCGAGGGAGTCTGAGGAGGGAGGTCAGCCCCACCATCAACAGAACCAGGAGGTGGAGCTGGAAGGAGGGGTGGGTGAGGGAGGACGGGTGGAGGGCAGGCAGGCCCGTTTCTTTGGCTGGAGTGAGAGGGCTCAGTCCTGTGGCTGCCTGCTTCTCCTCCCCACCTCCCTCCTGCGGCCCGACAACGTGTGTGTAAAGAAAACGTGAAAAGGCAACAATAAATAAGTGGTGCCGTCCCTCGGGCCATCGGTCCAGGGCGGCGGGGCGGATCATTCACTCTTGGTGCTGTGGGCGGCGTCCAGGTTTACCACCTGTAGCTCAGTGAGGTTGCTGCTGCTCCCGGCCTGCTGTCCTATCACGGCCATCTGAAGGGAAGGGGAGGGGTGTGAGGGGTTGGGGGAGCCTGACCAGCGAGCCCAGACTCCCCCATGCTTGTATAGGCTGGATCAGAAAGACAGGTGGGCCCCCAGGTTAGAGATGCTGGCTTTGACCACCTGTAATGAGCACCCCCCCTAGGCCAGGTAAGGAAGTGGCTGCCTGGGATGGGGTGAGAGGTGCCCCACCTACCTGGTGAAGCTGAACTGCAGAAACAGGGATCTGCACTGTCCCAGACGGTGCCGTCAGGAACACCTGGGGAACCCCACCTGCATTGCAAAACCACCGGAGACACTCACATCGCTTGCTCAAGAGAAATTTCAGAATATTCCATAAGCGCGCAAGTGACCACGTGAGTCTCATGGAAACGCCCAGGCGTGAGCGTTCCAATGTGTCTGAGGGGGCATGGGTGTCCAAGTGCATGTGTGAATTTCTACAGGAATATGTGTGGACACCCAAATGTATATGTGTGCATGTGCGTGTGCAGCAGGGGCAGGAGTGTACCCAGTCCTCTCAGCCCTGCCCTTCCACTCACCTTGCTCCTGGACCTGGCTGTGGGACACCTGCATGGTGGATGGCGCCTGGGAGAAGGCATTGAGCACGGTGAGACTGCCGTCAGCCAGGCTCGAGGTGGGGGCGTACATCACCGCATGGGGGCTAGGGTACATCATGTGGCCGCCCACAGTAGTGGGCACGGACGACGTCATGATGGTGGCGGGCAACGTCACTGGCAAACACAGATACCTGTCAGGAGCTTGGCACTAGTCCCTTCTGATACCCATCCCACCCCCAGAAATTCCAGGCCTCCAGAGCTCTCCAGCCATTCCCCAGATCAGAAGCAAGACAAGCGTACTCCTCTGCTCCCTATCTTCCACTAAGAAAAGCCTCGTTTTCTCTTGAACACAGCAGCACCAAATTTTAGTTGTATCCTATCGCACAGTACTATCTGTCTATCTGCTGAATTCTCTGTTCCAAAATCATAAGGTCTTAGGAAAAACAAAGATAATAATGACTAGGTGACTGTCAGGAGGTTCAAATAAGGGAGCTCCATCATCCCATTTTCTATTTGCTCTCATTCCTCCTCCTACATGTGCAGCTAATAAATTCTTTTGAACCACTACTTCTCAAATATTGTATGTGTATGGTCACTTGGGAATCTTGTTACAATGCAGATTCTGACTCAGTAGGTTTGCGGTGAGGCTTGAAGGTCTACATTTCCAACAAGCTTCCAGGTAACGCTGATGTCCCCAGTTCATAGACCATTCTTTGCACAATAAGGTTGTAAACAACATGAATTTAAAAATAACTTCATTTTCAGAGTGCCTCATCCTTTCTGAAATGATTAGAGATAACCTGAGGGGAATTATGGCCATTCAAAGCCTACAACATCCTCCTCAAGGAGACACCTGCTCTC